CAGTTTTACAACCAGTCTCCATTCGATTGAGCAGCTCTGACTGACTGTGGCATAGTATGTGCTAAGCTGCCCAATTCGTCCTGAAATTTGTTAGCGGCTGATGCCCCAGGATTATCACACATCAGGCATTCCGACACTGTTCGAAAATCCTTTTCGCAGCTTGGCTTGGTTTTCCAAACACCTGCTTTCACTTTGCTTTCCTTGTGTGTGTACATGTATGTGCGTCAAGGCTGGACAAAGCTTGGATCGCTGCTCATTCGAAGCTTGCCGCCGCCAATTGGATTCTCCTACTGTGACCCCATTGGCCCCTCTGGCGATGGCTACAGCTGTGGCTCCTGGAATGACACCAAGACTGCGAAGCACAGCTTCACCTTCATGAAGAATTGGCTGGCAGCCTTTCCAGAGCCGCTTGGACCCCCAACCACTTGCTTCTTTGATTGCCTTAGCAATCTTCTGTCACCCATGGATGCCAGTCCTGGAGGTATGGTTCCAATGACCTCTTCATCACTGGTGAGTCCTATGCTGGACTCTATGTGCCCATGCTAGTCCAACAAATCATGCAGGATGCAGGACTGAGACATTCCGGCCTTTTCTTGCTGGCGCGGTAGGAAATGTGGGGTCATTCCCCAGAGGTCCGCTTAAAGGAAACCACCAGTGGGATGGTTTATAAGGGTCATTCCATTTCTCATTCCCGTGGCATCTCTTGCAAGTTTCGAAGATGCGTCTTCGCGCAAGCTGACAGCTGCAACTGCCTCACAGGACCCTTGGCCGCCATGTTGAAGGGCTTTGCTGTTGGCGATGGCTGCCTGGGCGGTCCGGCCCGCCGGCCGCACAGTGGCGTATTCTGGCGCGGGCGCGGGTTTGGACTGACCTTGAAAGCAGAGGTCTATGCGGGAGTTGCAACCTGTCCTTTCTTGGGGGTAGGGGAGTTCCTTGAAAGATCTGGCCCTGCGAGGTTTGTCTCAAAGGTCTGTTCAACATGTCACCTTCCGGTTTTTAAAAACAGCCTCAGGGAGACAGCGGCGGCTGCGTCCCAAGCCTTGGGCGTTACTTCGATGTGGAGTTCTTCCATGGCCATGGGCAGTTGCTTGAAGCATATGGCGGGACCGGGCCTGTGGCTCTAGCGGTGCAGCTGAATCCTGGCCAGGTTTTTATAAAAGCCACTCCAGCTCGCATTTGCAACCCCAGGCTTCATTGGCATTGTAAGCCCTGCTTACATGGCTCTACTTGGATTGCTGCCCACCTTTTTAGCGCATTCCCCCTCGATGGACTTGACATTTGCAGCGAAAGAGAGTTGCATCCCATGCAGAATAAGGTTTGGTTAGAAGGACTGCTTTGTAAAACATGTGTTTAGCATGGTTCATTTTGCTCACTGATCGCTTGTAGCAGAACTTGTGCAGCTGCCGGAATCTCCTGTTGGATGTAGCAATTTAATCTTCATCATGGCTGGTGCATATCATACGACCTCACTGAAAGTGCGCTTTCCAGATTTCATGTTGAGCCGTGAGGATAGGCATCGGTTGCATGGAAGCAACCGATTCACCATGAGTCCTCAAATGGCAGAACGAATTGTAGCAGACTTCTCTCTGAACTCCCAGGTTTTCAGACAAGACCTACGCTGAAATCAAGAAAGTCTGCTCTCATCAGGCCGGCTTCACGCAATCGTGCCATGAGGTCCCCTCCAGTTCACCCGCAGGGTGCCAGTCCGAAACTAGTCCATGCCAGTGGGATGAGTTGTATCCTTCGACGGTTTGGGCTCCAGGAGCTTGTGGATGGAGCCACCAGCGATGCTTGCAAAGCCGTGCTGAAGAAGATGGACGCGGAGCGGGGTCGTTGTCCCAGCTTTGCTATGAGTCATGAGGGTAGCAGCTCAGCTTCTGCTGAAGTTGTAGCTGATGAGTTTCCTTCTCGGCTCCGCTCCTCGCGCGGGAGGTTATAGCTTTGAGTACAACCTCTACGATGAATGCTATGACTTCGACCTTGTGCCCGGGCTTTGGGAAGTTGGTCAACTGCATGGCGGTCAGTCTGAAGCTGTGGTTTCCCTGCCAAGTACAACCAAGAGACAAAGAACTACCGATGTAACCGAGGATTCGGGGCTGACAGGACCAATCTCCCAGTCACAGAGTGGTGGAAAATGGCACATGGATGGCCACCCGGACGCCTTGCGGATGGTTTGGTTGAGGCAAAAGGACATCTATCCCATTTTGGGCCTCCTTTTTGAAACCATGAAACCCCCGCGCCCCAGATTTTTAAATATTCAGCCTTTGCACGCGTCGGTATCACAAGTGGATGTGAGCTTGTGGATGTGGTTGTCCATGAGGCAGTCAGTCAACCAGTGCGCTGACGCAACGGCAAGAGCTATGGACAATGAGCATCCTAGGTACACCGTGCGGCGGCATCGGTGTGCTGCGCAAGTGGCTCAACACCAGTGTCACTCGGCACCTAACATCATTCTTCGTTCCATATGTGGCAGGCGCAGTGCTCAGAGCGCACTGAGCTT